GGCAAGAACAGAATCACTGAGGCATAGAAAGGAAAATGTTTCAAGAAGGAGAGAGTGTAGGGGAACTACATCAAGACTACTGAGAAATCATGCAAGATAAGAACATGGGAAAATGAAGATGAGAACTAGATGACATGGAGTCACTTTGACAAGAGCAATTTCAGTGGGATTGGCTTTTACTTTATTATTCTAAATGGGAGATGTTTGTGGATGGATGTGATAATCTTCTCGAAAAGAAGAAATCAGTGATGGAGAAGAGAGGGATAATGTGAGAGCAAAAAGAAGGTGGGACCCAGATCACCTGTGGAAGGTGGGGCTTAGAAGAGATTCATGTGGCTTAAGATCCAGATAAACTGGCAGATGTAATAGTGGAAATATGGAAGTAATCTAGTCTGACAGCTCTATGGCCCTGGAGCCAGGATGACTGAAATGTCTCCTCAATCATAACTAGTGGAAATGGGCTATCATCAGGGAGAAATGGGAGGGAGAAATATGATCAGTAGAGTCATGACCTCAAGCCTAAGTTGCAGCGTTCTGCCAAATGTGACAGACTGTGGTATACTTCCTGTCTTTAGGATGGTCTGGGGTCAAAGCACAAGGTTTAGGAAGAAACTAACAGAATACAAGAAGGTATCGTCCGATGAATGGTGATGACTCTGTGAATTCAGGCATGATTTCAATTTAGAATATAAACAATTTTTGGACAGAGACTGTATCTCATTCATCACTGTAGCCCTAAGTCTATTAAACTAATTTTAAGCACATACATTGAGCTAGCCTGTGCTAGTCAGCAGAAACACAGTCGAAATAGGGCATTACCCTTGTGTACAAAGGGCTAAAAGTATTTAAGAGACATTTGCTAAATTAATTTAATCATGTATATAGTAAAGAATCTGGCCTTGCCCAAAGAGAAATCTGGCCTTTTCTCCCCAACTCCTGGGAGGTAAGTCTAAATTCTTAGAATTTCCTGAGTAATAGGAGTGTCTTTTCTTTGTTGGTGAGAGGCCCTCAGACCACACTAGATAATATAAGTTGATGAGGTGACTCACAGTGGTCCCTGGGGCCACATGGTATTAACCTGACTTTCATGGATGGGGGTGCTGGAGACCAATTTCAAGGAGGTGATCAATCAAGCATGCCTATGACATGAAAGCCAATAAAAACTGTGAACATTGAATCTCAGATGAGCTTCCCTGATTGGCACCATGTGTACTGTTACATATGGATGCTGGGAGGTTAGGACAATGGAATCTTCATGTTTGGAACACTCCCAGACTCTGCCCTGTGCATCTTCCTTTATTTTTGTTCTGTATCCTTTCCTAAAATGTACCTGTGAGTATAATAGCTTGAGGTATTTTATGTGAGTAAAATTATGTGAGTAATTTTATGTGAGGTAAATTATGTGAGTCTTTCCAGAAAATTCTTAAGAACTCTCTGAACTTCCTGTTCACGTCAGGAGTGAGGGCAGTCTTGTAGAGGACTGTACTCTCAGACTTCGCAATTGGGCAGACCAGGTTTCATGTGACCTTAGAAATAAAAGGGATCTAGATATCATCTGATTCAACTTAATTCTGTAAGTGAGGAACCAGAGGTCTAGAGATAGGGAATGACTTACCCGAGGTCACATAATGTTATGACTGAGTAAGAATAACCATGAGTATTCTGACTCTCAGTACAGTGTGCTTTCCACAATATCGTGTTGTAGTTTTGAATGTGATCCTGAGCAGAGAAAAGCTTATCCTTGAGTCAGTCTGACTTTACTACAAGGGATCGTTGCAGGAGCTCCTATATTTAGGAAAGCTCATTCCTTACTATGTTTCTTGGCCTGATTCAGATACATTCTAGATTTTTCTTGAGAATATTTAAGTTGCACTATGTAATGTTTGCAAAGTAAGGGGACTGTCCCAAAGAAAAGCTAACGCTTTCGGTGGGGGGGCAGTTTTTTTGGTGATTTCTTTGTTACTGAACTTTTATGTTTCAGATATCATTTCTGTATAATCTAAATTTCATTGCTAGAAGACATTTTAGTAGGTTTTTTTTGTTCAGTCCTTCATTTTACATATGAAAATACTGAGACACAGAAACAGGAAGATATCTACCCAAGGTCACTTGATCAGTGGTAAGGACAAGGCTGAATTCAGGTCTCCTCTGCATTCTAGTTCAAAATGACTTCCCTATAGAAGGCCAAGAAAGTTTTGTGCACACTTCTATTTATAAAAGTACGTAAGGGATCCTCACAGAATCCCAGAACAACCTATTTTTGTTTATTTCGCCTGAGTAGCATCGGGCTGTCTTACTCTGTCATAAATTCATTAAGGGGCAACCAGATGTTCTCTGTATTTCTCAGGGTTAAAGGGAAGAAAAGGGCTATCACTCTTCCTCTAGGGCAGGGACAAGCAACAATCTGCTAATCCCTAAGCTTTACAAAATCATGAAATCTAACCACAGGTCTGATATTTTTTTAACCAGGAAAATCTTTTTTTAGCACCTCTTGTTAAGTACAACATTTAAATAATGGGCTTATATCTCTAATAAGCTATTAATTTTTGTTCTCTTAATTACCCTACTATAATTCTCTTGTGACTAACATTCCTGATGTATAGAAACAGATTCTTGTACTTGCCCGGAGGTTTGACACATGTGAGCCAGCTACAGAAGGTACAAAACACCCATACGAGCTAATGTATGATAGCATCCCATAGCAGGGGGCTACTCTCAACTTGCATGCCCAAAGTAAGTCTACTAGCCCAGGAGCTCCCATTTATCTAGCGTGAGTAGGGATGGAAGTATTCTACTCAAAAAAATTTTCAGAGCTCAAAAGGTATTTAGATCTATTTTATACCACAGGTGAAGAAACTGAGATCCAGAGAAAGAATTGACTTACCAATTGTCACAGTCTTATTTTAGTCATTTCTTAAAAAAAAAAAGAAAAGAAAAAAATATTTATTTATTGATTTCGGGGTGGGGGAGGGAAGAAAGACAGATGGAGGAAGAGAATCCTAAAGCAGATTCCCCAAGACCCCAGGATCATGACCTGAGCCGAAATCAAGAGTCAGGGGGTGCCTGGGTGGCTCGGTGGGTTAAAGCCTCTGCCTTCTGCTCAGGTCATGATCCCAGGGTTCTGGGATTCAGCCCCACATTGGGTTCTCTGCTTGGCGGGGAGCCTGCTTCCCCCCCACCATACCCCTGCCTGCCTCTCTGTCTACTTGTGATCTCTGTCAAATAAAATCTTAAATAAAATCTCAAATAAAATCTTAAAAAAAAAAAAAAAAGAAATCAAGAGTCAGACACTAAACTAACTGATCCATCCAGGCACCCCTATTTTAGTCATTTCTACAGAAATAGTTCTTATACATTATATTACTAATTTTCTTAAACAACATGTGGAATACTGACTTAAATAAAGCTGTTTCTTGGGGTGCCTGAGTGGCTCAGTGGGTTAAAGCCTCTGCCTTTGGCTCATGTCATGATCTCAGGGTCCTGGGATTGAGCCCCATGTCAGGCTCTCTGCTCAGCGGGGAGCCTGCTTACCCCCTCTCTCTCTGCCTACTTGTGATCTCTCTCTCTCTCTCTGTGTCAAATAAATAAAAAAAATATATATTTTTTAAAGCTGTTCTTTATGGTTCAGGTCCATTATTATGAATATCAACTATGCTCCTATGCTATGATTCTGTGACATTCAAATGATAAGAACTAATTTGCTTCTATACCATAATCCAGGCTGGTTTGTACTCTTTTTCCCTCCCCACTCCTTTCCTTCTATCTTACTAAAGGATTTCCAGACTCTAATTACTTGGCTTCTGAGGTTGTAGTATAATCACAGCAAGGCACTGATCTTTAGAAAAGGGAGTGAAGATCTTGAAGCCAGAGGTTGTAGGGAACCTAAGTCCTGAGGCTGCTTAGTTACTTAATAACAACAGGCAACCTTTTTGAGCATTTATGATACACTATATTATATATATACTATATTTTGGGCTCTTCATTTAATTCTCACAGTAACCCTAGGAGAGGGGTGCCATTGTCATCTCTGCTGAGCCACATATAAGTACTTTATCCAAGGTCACAAAGCCAATAAAATGGAGCGTCCAGGATTCAAACTTCGGTAGTTTTCTTTTGAAAGTCCACACTCTGAAATCACCATTCTATTCTATCTCCTTAACTGTTTGAAGTGCGATTTTGAAAGAAAGATTTCTGAGAGATTTTTATGTTCAAGTAATTAATTAAACTTGAGAACTAGAAAAGGTAGTAATTTTCCCCCAAAGTCACACAGCTGTTTAGGGGAGAACAGCTAGACTAGGACTCAGTTCTTGGATTCTTTGTCCCAAGCTCTTACCAGTTCATTATGCAAAAATTCAGTGAGAAGAAAGTTGGGGGACATTTTTGCAAAGTGAGATATCTCCTAGATGGGGACTTAAGACGTTCGATCCCTGCCTTTCTTTGGCCTATTCTAGAGCCATAGGGCCTGAGCCACAAAAACTTCAATGTGGATTTCCTACCAGACTTGGCATCTGGGATACTGCCATTGTGAATGTGACTGGCCATGAGTCACACACCATAGTCAACTGAAGAAAACTTCCTCTCTCTTAGGAACGAAAGCAGATTTCTAATTTGAGTTTTACCTCATCATTCTCTTCCAGAATGAGGGACCTGACCCTTTCTTCTCTCTAAGCCAGCAGATTTCTGATAAACACCCTTCTTTCTCCACAAATGCAGCAGACCCCTCACAGACAGTGAACAGCTGGTAAGAGGTCTGACCCAGCCCTTCCTCAGAGACTTCCCATTTAAAAGTGGGAGTATCCCAAGAGAAATGGGCTCTGGTTCCCCAGAGACTTCAAGTTCAGAGAGAAGAGATCCAGTAAGTACTGGATCTATAGAACTGAATAGTTCCATAGCTGATACTGCAGACTGCTGAGAAGGCTCCTCTATCCTGGAGCCACCACAGTCTATAGCAGTGGGCTTGGGAATGGTTCTTGGGTCTCTTATCTCTTCCCGCTGCTTACCTGTGGCTGCTGGGTGGTTAAGGGTCTCTGAGGGGACAGGACAGGGGTCCTGGACAGCAGCTGGTTCATCTTGCTAATGACTAGTTCAGTGATAAGTTGTCTGTCCTCCACCTGGTGTTCACCAATCAGTGGCATACTGCAGTCCATGACCTGGTAGAAGATGTAGCCCAGGTTAGGAAAGGGGCTGGAAAAATCAAAGGCCTGGTATAGACTTTCAGAATGAATAGAACTTAAGGCATCAGAGACAGATTGGGGATGAAACCGGTGTTCTTGTCTTCAGCTAGAAGCATGTTCCTGTGCAGAATTAGGACCTTAGTCTCCCCCTTCAGCAAACTTTTGCTTTGGCTCTTCCCCCCAGACTTCACCTAGGCCAGGACTCAGTAGAGTGTACAAGATTCGTGGCTGAAGGTGGTAGGGAAAGGGAGACAGCAAGGGCTTAGAGATTTGTAGGCAGGGAAAGCAGGAATACATGGAGGTCATTCCCTTAACTCTCTAGTTAGGAGTAGCCAGTTTTCATCTCTGAGACTTTTCACCCATGCAGTTTTTATCTCCACACAGTCTGCCCTTTAAACAACTAGATTTCTGCTTTTGCTCATGACCTGGGATGCCTTCCCTTTTCACCACCATCCTGATTCCTCCTGTACCTCAAAGTCCAGGTAACTGTTTTCCTCTGTTAGGAACTGGTTAGCTGGCTAACTAGGATCATAGACTCTGTAATCCAACTTTCATTTATGGATGAGAAAACGGAGTCCCACTGAGAGAGGGGGTATGATTATTTAGAATGCTATGTGCCAAGTAGACCATGGAGTAGATTCTGAAGCCCACTTTGGGTTCCTGACACTAATCTTTTGCCAATACCACCAACTCCTGGCAAGGAGCCTTTCCTGCTCCCAGTAAGACTGGGCAGGAATATGAGTGAAGGAATCATATTGCTACCGATTTTCCCTTTAATATGGGGAAAGGGAGTCAGCAAATTTTGTTAGAGGACCAGGCCGAGTAAAGTATCTCCAAGGCTCAGAGAGATGCTAAGAAGAATCCCCTGTGCCTGGTGGTGGGTATTATGGAGGACATGTATTGCATGGAGCACTGGGTGTGGTGCATAGATGATGAATTCTGGAACACTGAAAAGAAATAAAACAAAACAAAGGTGTAGTGATCAACATAGTACGGTACTGTCATAAAAATAGATACATAGATCAGTAGAACAGTATAGAAAACCCTGAAATAGATTCACATTTATATTAAAAACAAAGTGGTGTGTGGGCATATATATAGATTATATAGTATATATATATGTATATTAATATTACTCAGCCATAAAAATGGAATGATATCTTACCATTTGCAAGGTTATGAATGAAGCTACGAAGTATGACAGAAGTGAAATAAGTCAGTCAGAGAAAAATACTATATGATGTCACTCCTGTGTAAATTTAAGAAACGTAGGAACAAAGGGGAAAAAAGGAGAGAAGCAAATCAATAAACAGACCCTTAACTCTAAAGAATAATCTGATGGTCACCAGAGGGCAGGGTGTGGGGATGGTTTAAAAAGGGCATGGGGATTAAGGAGTGCACTTGTAGTGAACCCCAAGTGTTGCATGCAAGTGTTGAATCACTACATTGTATACCTGAAACTACTATTAATGCTGTACATTAACTAACTGGAATTAAAATAAAATCTTAAAAAAAAAAATCTCCTGTAACTAGGAAACTTGAGCTCTATCTAGCCCAGGCTGAGACACTGATTCACTCCATGGCCTTGAACACATGCTTATGGCATTAGGCCTTAGTTTTCTCATCTGCAAAATGAGCAGATTGAACTGAATGATTCCCAAGTCCAATTTTCTGAGACCAAAAATGGTAAATCACTACAGTCTTCCCAGAGGAAGAGCATTAGGCTAGGACCCCAGGAACCCAAATGTGGCAACTCTTACCCAGCATGGGTCAGCCTAGCTGGTTGGAAACAATAGCTCCCTGCTGGTGGAGGTATTTCGCTATGCACATCCATTGGTCGTGTTGTCTGGGAACCATCCCCTGGCCTGAGAGACTCTGATCTAAACCTAGTTTGGGTCACCCACATAGTTCTCAAGCTAAGAGCCTGGCTTCTAGCCTCGGGTGTTGTCTCTTACTGAGATACTCCTTGGGCCAGCCAGACTTACCTCAAAAATGTAGTCTTTCCCATCTTTGCCATGTACAGCTTTGACAGCACAGATGTCCAGGCCACCAAACATCTCAGAGCAGGTGTCTACCCACAGCTTGTACCTGGAAGGGATGGGAAGGTGTTCTGAAGCTGGGGTGTTAGCTCATATCAAGCCTACCTGCTACTCATGATCTTCTTGGTGCCTCCACCTCTACTATCCCACCCCTTCCCACCTCCCCTTCCTCTCCCCATCAAGCATATTGCCTTCTCTACAGTGCTCTCTCACTTGAACTCCAGATTCAACCTAAGTGTCCAGGCTCAAAGCAGGTCTCACATACTCTAGGTGGCCTTCGTTGGCTTTTCCAGTGCAGAGTAACTGCTCCTTTCTTGGAGCTTCTACATCATGTCCAGTCTTTATCTACATAATTTAGCATATAACCTAGTCCTGCCTGATCTTGTTACCTGGTTGCTTGGCTCTTTGTGTTCTGTCCTGATTAAAGGCTTCCTTTGGGCAGGGCTCATTTTTTATACCTCTTCAGCTATGGAAGCTGGGCTGGGGAGTGGACTCCTTCTCCCACTCACCTGTCTGACATGGCGATCTGCTCCAGCATTGCAGAGCCAGTGTTTGTCTTCCAGTTCCCTGAGATCGATGTCCTCCTGCAACAAGGTCCCACAAGGATAGGATAGGCAGTGAGCCACACGAGCAAGAGGGGGGCGTGAAACTTCCCAGAATTTTAACTAACTGCTGCTTTCCCCACCTGCTTCTTTTTTTTTTTTTTAATTGTTTGTTTGTTTATTTATTTATTTTTAAGATTTTACTTATTTATTTGACAGAGAGAGAGAGATCACAAGTAGACAGAGAGGCAGACAGAGAGAGAGGGGGAAGCAGGCTCCCTGCCAAGCAGAGAGCCCGATGCGGGGCTCGATCCCTGGACCCTGAGACCATGACCTGAGCCAAAGGCAGAGGCTTAACCCTCTGAGCCACCCAGGCGCCCCTCCCCACCTGCTTCTTGCAGAAGTAGCCCAGGCACCTGTCTGCTGAACTGAGAACTTGGCTGCCCTGCCAACCCCTACCCTCAATGTCCTTCTTCTCTTTGTAGTCCAGCCCAGACTGCTGTGGCTCCATGGAGCCTTCCCTAATCTTTTCAACCAGATGAACACTTGCTCTCCTGAACCTCACTTACAGTCCTATATCTATTTTTTATATTAGTTATTTGAGCTAAGTCTTAGGTCCACAAGTTATAAACTACTAGCAGCCTACCCACTTAGTATCTGGGCTGACTGGGTATATACAAACTGAATTCTGTTGATCCTGGGGACACTCTTAGGATTCTTGTGAATATCTCCCCATGGCTTCCTTACTAGCTCATTTATTGTTCATTCAACAGTTAATTTCTAAGAGCCTACAGTATTAACAATGTGACTCTGGACAAGTCAGTTAACTTCTTCAGGCTTAAGTTGCCTTGTCCATTAAATGCTGTTGATGGAATCAAGTCACCAACCTCCTCTCTGCTATGCCCTCTGCACCCTCTCCAACTGTGAGCAGGTGTTAGAGTCAACTAGTCTTAGACTAAATAGGAGGTGGCTGACCTTGCTTCTAGTTCTGGATTTGCTCTTGACTGGGTGGGTGACTATGGGTGAATCACTTTACCTCTCTGAGCCTCTTATCCCTGTGTAAACACAGGGTTGTTATGAAGATCAATTGATACAGATTATAAATTGTAAAACACCAAATTATTAAATTTGGTTAATTTATTAAATAAATTAATTGGTTAAATTATTGATTAAATTATTAAATAAATTGTAAAACACCAAAAACAGGACTTCTTAATTATGAGTCTTCACTCAGACACAGTCAAGAGGAGGAGGATAGCCTAGGGGACAGAAAAGCACTGTTCACACTACTGACAGAGCTGTTCACGTGCTGACATCCTTGTCACTTGCTACCATTTGGAGACTGGATGCATGTAGTAGTCTCTACTCAGCAGTTCCCAGGAGTACCTACCCCAGAGGTCTGATCTCAGACACTGATAAACCTAGATATATAGCTAGTTTTCAGAGACCTGAGGTGGCCCAGTGAGTCAACTGATGTGGTAATAACAACCCCTCACTCTTGTACAATACTGACTGCTTGCCAGTGTTCTTCCCCCACAAACCCCTCACCAGAGCCTCAGTGCAAACCACTGTTCTGAGCAGGCTGACATCCTCACCCCAACTTTATAGACAAGGAGATTAAGACTCAGAAAGGTTAAATGACTTGCCCAAAGTTGTATATCCAGTCAAATTAGATATTTGATTAAAAAAAAGTCCAAGACTCTTTGTTCCCTAATTGTGCTGTGCTTCCCCTATACCACATTGCCTAGTTCAGAAAAAACAAACAAACAAACAACTAACAGATGAGTGACTTGCAAAATCTGAGTAGAGACGCAAAGATAGATCATAATAAAAATAACACTGTCCTTCTAACACTGATGGTTTATGAATGTGTCCCTGTGACCAGGTTGGGCTCTTCAAGAGCGGGGACAGAGTCATTCACTTCTAGGTCCCCAGCACAGGGCATTGGTATATAATAGGGTTTTGGAAACTTTGAGTGAATAATAATAATGTCCTTCACACTTCACACCTTTCTCTAACAATGAGATGCAGGGCACAGATCCATATAGGCCACTGGAGCAGGGGGAGAATCAGGGGGCACCTAGAAGCCACTCACTAATAGCTCAACTACCTTTCAGGACTTGGAGGTCATCTGACCTCCACAGAGGGATGCACATTATTACCTAATGAGAGTAGAGCAGGAACAATACCCTCTGTCTACCAAATATGGCTGGTCTGAAACTCGAGAGTGAGAGCTAAGGGAGTAGGGAAGACTCTCAAACCATATCTTGGCTATCACCAGGTCAATTCCTTCTGAAAGCAAGGGGATAGCTCAAAGTTTGGGGAAGAGGAGCCAAGGGGACCTGAATAACTGTCCCTTGCAAATTAAAGAAAGTAAATGTTTTCTAAAGTTTCTTTGGTGGCCCACCCTTCATCAGTATTAGAGGATTCTCTTTTCTTATGCTTCTTCAAAATTACTTTTAGAAATCCTAACCTTTAAAAATGAGATGTCTCCTTTTAAGGATCAAGACACTCTTGCTCTACTGTCATAAACATTTTGTGTTTATTTAGGGGATTTTGTCTTTTATTTTGTTATTATTATCATTATTATTTTAACTTAGGGGATTTTAAAAGTAAAGGATGGGAAATCTGCTTTCCTAGGTGCTTACACATACTGATTTTTCTGCTTATTTTAGCTGCTTTTTATAATGGTCTTTTAAATTATCTTGTCTTACATTGTGTACAATTTTAAAACAATCCTAAATTCCTTTTTGAAGCAGCAAGACTTTAAATCAAAAACTATAAACTTTTTTAAAAAAGTAGTAATCTAGTAAAAAAGATTCTATGCTTCGGTTCTAATCAAGGGCTCTTCCCTGAATACTTAATGGGTGCTTACTCTGTGCCTGCTGCTGCACAAGCTGTTAGGGGTGATTTCACTGTTCCTGCCCAGGGAGCTCAGAGGAGGGTGACAGAAATTCCCATTTGTGCAGAGACTAAACCAGAGGTTTGTGCAGAGGGGCAGAGCTCCTAACTAATTCCAGAGGTGGGGGAGTACAAACACTGAAGGGGGAGACAGAAGAACAATGGAAATGAATGGGCAAGGGAAAGGGAATCTGCTCAGTCTTGAAGTCTACTCAAATGCCGAGTGGCCAAGACCAAATTCATATATTAGAATGTTCTTGTTTATATAGGAAATACTACCCTGCAGATTTTAAAAAGTGAGAGGCTCATATTTTCAAAATTGGAATTGTAAGCTATTTGCATGTATATTATAGAAGATTTATAGAGATTTCTGGTCATCCAGAAATCTTTTCGTTCTTTCAAGTCAGATGGAGGAAACTTTTAACTTTGTATTCTGGCAGATGGACACAGTCATGTGGAGAAGTCACCTATTCTTTTCTTTTCTTTTAAAGATTTATTTATTTATTTGACAGAGAGAAAGTTCACAAGTAGGCAGAGAGGCAGGCAGAGAGAGAGGGGTAAGCAGGCTCCCCGCTGAGCAGAGAGCCCAATGCAGGGCTCAATCCCAGGACCCTAAGACCATAACCCTAGCCGAAGGTAGAGGCTTAACCCACTGAGCCACCCAGGCTCCCCGAAGTTACCTATTCTTATAACCACTAGGTTTTTAATGCTCTGGCATGTTTTTAGGGTGATACGTTTTCATTAGGAGTTTCTTAATCTTTTCAGAATTCTGATAACTGGCGAATTCTATGGATTCCTTTCAATGTACAAAAATACGTAAGAGTCGTAAAGGTATAAAATAAAGTACCTAAGATAACAAAGAAACCCAATTTTAAAAATAATTATCAAAATAGTTATCAAAATCTTAAACAAATCTGTGATGAGTAAAAACATACATCTTTTTGTAAATAACAAAACTATTTGCAGTGACAGGTCTAACAACTACCATGTAGTTGAGTAGCAACAACTACCATGATTCTTGAGTAGTGATAAAAATAATTGGTATTTAGAGATATCAGTCATAACTGCAATATGAATTAAAAAATGTCTGTGATTACCTTTAGCCTAAGTCACATGTGCTGTTGCTACTACTGTAGTCTGTTGCCGTGGTTTATAACCGAGGAGATGTCAAATTTCACTTAGAGCCTAGTGAAAATAAATATTAATTTGATTTCTCATCTTAGTTCATTGGTCCTCATCTGACTTGAAAGGAACTCAGGCTGGGAGCCCCTGACTTGAAAGGTACCCTCTCTGGTCTCTGCCTTTTGGGCCAGATGAGGTTAAATGAGAATTGGCTGCTACCTGGAGGCTCAGATTTTCCACTGGGCTGAGGAGAAAGTGAAGAGTATCTGCTGGCACTCCAGCCCCACTCACATATAAGCCTTGTAGTTGGTGCCTATCTTCTGGACCCGGATGTCATACTTGGCGTCAATAAAAGGCTCTGCTGTGGCATATGTCTGGGTGAGGGCCACCACACTAGCAATGTCCTGGAAGTCGTAATGGTTTTCCACTTTGACCTAACATTGGAGCAAGGCAGAGAAGGAGAAAAGGAGACATACAAATACATATACTGAGAGTCACAAGAGCTCTGAGCCTCTAAACCCATCAAGATGTTATTCATCCTGATGTAAACCTGGATGCCACATCTCCCTAGGATACCCTTTCTTTCTAGCTTCCCCTCAAGGAGGGGAAAGGGCCCAAGGGCCCAAGCAACTGGCCTGTACTCAGCTTGTTGGAAGAGGTCTGTTTGGGTAACACTCATAATTCAGAGGGGTCGCATCATCTCCTTGGAAAGAATTCATGGAGAAATGAGGCAAAATAGTCCATATACAGGCTCTCTAAAAAGTGCCCTTCTTGGCCTCAACCCCAAAGCAAAACAAACCTTTACCATGGCCTTACCTTGCCCATGCCTGAGTGAGCATGGCCAATCTTCACCACCACAGGGAATGTGGGCAGTGTCAGCTGAAAGCAGAGGAGAAAGGAATGAACTGGTCAGAGTGTGCCTCACTCTCTATGGCATCGTACAAATATTTTCTTGGTAATACCCTTGGAAGGGTCCTTTAAAGAACTAGCCCAACCTACTTGCTTTACAGATTAAAAAACAGTATGGAGTTTCCTCAAAAAGTTGAAAATAGAGCTACCCTATGACCTAGCAACTGCACTACTGGGTATTTACTCCAAAGGTACAAATGTAGGGTCAGAAGGGGCATGTGCACCCAAATGTTTACAGCAACAATGTCCACAATACTCAAACTATGGAAAGAACTTAGATGTCTATCAACAGATGAATGGATAAAGAAGATGTGGTATACACATACACACACACACACACACACACACACACATACTGGAATACTATGCAGCTATCAGGAGAAACAAAATCTTACCATTTGCAACGACGTGGATGGAACTAGAGGATATTATGCTGAGTGAAATATGTCAACCAGAGAAAGGCAATTATATGATCTCTCTGATGTGAGGAATTTGAGAGGCAGGACTGGGGACCGTGGGGGGGTAGGGAGGGAAAAGATGAAACAAGATGGGATCAGGAGGGAGACAAATCATAAGAGACTCTTAATCTCAGAAAACAAACTGAGGGTTGTTGGGGGATAGGGTGGCTGGGTTATGGACATTGGGGAGGGTATGTGCTATGGTGAGTGTTGTGAAATGTGTAAACCTGATGATTCACAGGCCTGTACCCCTGAGGGAAATAATACATTATACGTTAATATAAATAAATAAATAAATAAATAAATAAATAAATAAATATTCTGTGGGAAGATGCAGAAAACAAACAAACAAACAAAAAGCCCCTGAGCCCAGAGAGTGAGAGTGACTTGCCTGAGGTCACAGCATACAATTAGCAGAACTGTAAGAACCCTGCTTGCTGCTCAGTACTTTCTATACCTTTAACATTCATTGCTTCAATATTCTCTGCATTATACAAATCCTGGGCAGGACCAGTCCTTAGCCAAAGAAAAGGCAAGGCAAGGCAAGGCAAGAAGAGGAGAGGAGAGGAGAGGAGAGGGGAGGGGAGGGGAAAGGAAGGGAGAGGAGAGGAGGGGAGGGGAGGGGAGAGGAGAGGAGAGGAGAGGAGAAAGGGAAAGGGAAGGGTAAGGGAAAAGGAAAGGAAAGGGAAAGGAAAAGGAAAGAAAGAAAAAGCATCTTTGAAAGGGTGAATTTTCTTGTATGAAAATTGTATCTTAGTAAACCTGAATTTAAAAAGAAATGTATCTTCGGAATTTTAATGTCCCCTTTGTCATGTACCTTTTAGTACCCTCTCCTTCCCCTTCAAACATCCAGCTTCCTACACTGAACCTGGATTTTCTCCCTCACTTTCACAATGTTGTCACTGCTCACCAACACCTCAAACTCAACACCAAACACAGCTTAGGATGCTAAGGCCTCTTTCGGCCCAGTTTGGGGTTTGGAAGAGAGCTGACAAGAATTCAACATGCAAAGACACTATTAAGAGTGTAAACTCTAGGGATTGGGAGGGAGACAAACCATAAGTGACTCTTAATCTCACAAACAAACTGAGGGTTGCTGGGGGGAAGGGGGTTGGGAGATGGGGGGTGGGGTTATGGACATTGGGGAGGGTATGTGCTATGGTTAGTGCTGTGAAGTGTGTAAACCTGGCGATTCACAGACCTGTACCCCTGGGGATAAAAATATATTATATGTTTATAAAAAATTAAAAAATTTTTTTAAAAATTACAGAGAAAAAAAAAAGAGTGTAAACTCTATCCTGAGGTAGCCATATTTTAACGGAGGGACAATAGAAACTTAAAAGAACTACCTTCCAAAGGCAGGGTTTCAAGTGGTTACAAAGTGGCGATGGAGGAAGTACTATGGTGGAGTGGACGAAGCACTACACTGTTATGTCAGGAGACTTGCATTCTAGTCTTCTCTGCCATTAGCTTTTTGTAAGTCACTTTACCTCACTGAGCCTTTGTGTTCACATTTGCCAAATGAAGAGACTGGACTGGATGCTTTTTGGGGTCTGTCCAATAATAAATACATCAGGCTCTATCTTGGTTTGGGTATTATATGAAGAATCAACTTGGTCACCAAATCTCATCTTTCTAAATCAGACTCCGCTCTCTTTCAATTTCCTTCTTTTCAAACATCACTACCACATCAAAATGAGATGTCTTTTGAAAAAATTGAAGTTAACTCTGATAAAAAGTCAGATTCCCATGGGAATCTGAGGTGTGACCAGATGCTGGGAATACCTGACCTGAGGATTTCAATATTCCTGGCTGAGGCCAGTTGAAGCTGGGACAAAGAGCACCAAAGGGCCTTCGAAACAAGTAGTTCAAGCCTATTTAACGGACAAGAAAGTGAGGCCCAGAGAGGCAAAAATTGCAATGCTACCTGTGACAGAATCAGGACCTAGCCTTCTACCTTCTAGTCCAGCACTGTGTGGAAATATCCTACAATAATCTCATGGGTTTCTTTGTTTTTGGAGACTTGGAGCACTATGCTCTGTCAAACAGAGCAGACAAGGCTCTGGTTGCAGTGACCCCATGTGCCTTGCTTCTTTACTTTCTGAGCTGTCCTACCTTCTATGACAAGGTATAGTCAGTCCAGTGAATAATGATAAGAGATAGGAACCAGTGTGGCCTAGGATCTGGAGAGGGCTTTGAAGGTTTGCCCTAAGTGATGGGATATCCTGTGCTTTGAGCCCCCACCAAGAGCACTGTCCTCAGCCATCTGCAGAGTCTGAGGCTCTGGATATGGGAAAGAGTTTCTAAACCACAGGCTGCTTTCTCTGACATCTCTCCCCACCCCCCAGCTGTCAGCGCCAAGACACACACACACACCCCAACTTTCTCTGTCCTATTCCATTACTGTTTGCTGTTGCTTTGGAGCCTCATAAATAGGGCATTGAAAACACTTCCTGCAGCTGAAAGAAGCCCTGAGTAGCTTGTCTCATTCCCAGTGTGGAGCTCAGCAAGGGGTCCGTCCTCTCTGTCACTGTCTCTTTTGCCTGTTGTAATTCTGTCTGCCTCTCTCTGACTCTGCTGTCTCACTTTCTGTTTGTGCCTCTCCTCACTCTTGTTCTTTCAGTGTGAATCACAGCCTATCGATCTTTCTGCCCTCATGCCTTTATCTTTGTTGCACTTGTCCTTCTGCCTTGACACCATCCTCTTTCCCAGTGCTTTCCCTCTGCTTCTATAAGGCTTGATTGCTTAGGCAGGGAAACAGACTAGGGGCCTCTCTCCTGGCTTCCCTCTTCCTTTTACTGAGCCTGCCAGTCAGGAGGGCTGCGGGTCCTGCAGCCGTGGGTGGCCTACAGCCAAAGGAGGGAGGAGCCCATCTGGGCGGGATTGGCCCTAGGTCCACCTCAAAAAGCCTGGGTTGAGGGGTACGACACGTTCTGGATGAGCCCCGGAGGGCCGGTTTGGTCAGACAGTCCCCACAGGCACAGTCAGGGCTTTGCAGTGTCATGCCCTGGAGCCCCCGGACCGCGCCAAGCTGGGCGCTGTTGCTGCAGCTGCTGGTACTGCTGCGGCCACCGGGTATGGTTGAGGCATGCAGCTGTGCCCCTGCACACCCCCAGCAGCACGTCTGCCACTCGGCGCTTGGTGAGTCCAGAGGCTGGAGAGGACCAGAGCAGGGGGTGGTTGTGTGGGTTTGCTATGGGGCTGAGGTGAGCTGTAGACCTGGAGTCTGGAAGGAAAGGGAGATCAAATGCTGCACCAGTTACCTCCGACTGGGTGTGATGGGTTGGGCAGGGCTGGTGTCATGGCAACCTTGCAAGTGCAAAGCCTGACTGACTTGCAAGGAAATGAAAGGAACCCCCATAGCGACCCCCTCACCTCTGCCTACTGCAATTATGGACTTAAACAACAAGTCATGGGGAGTTATCCAGGGGTTGGATATTCTGAACTACTGGATGGGGGGGGGTGGACAGGAGCCAGAGGACTGGGCTTTCATTATAAACATCCCACTGTGTCCAAGCCTATAACTGATGTTTACTCCATGTACCGCCCCCCCCAAAACACCTGTTGTTCTTGATCTTTCCTCAGCCTGAAATGCACCTTCCCCTTCCCCTTAAATTTCTGGCAGACTCCTATTCATCCTTCAAGGTCTTATTCAGGTATCTTTTCTTCTATGAAGACTTCCTGACTTCTTGGTGCTTCCATGGTATCTCTAACAAAAATTTTTGTACTCCCCGTATACTGTGCTGTTATTCTTTATAAGTGTATTCTCTCTACTAAACCAAGAGTTCTGCAGGATGGGGGACCTTATCTTAATCATGTTTATGGACCTAGTACCTACTGTTGGGCCAAGCACATAGAAAGAATTTTATAACCAGTTTTTGATTAACATCCAAATGGCAAGAGACAAACTACCTCTGTATAGGGTCAGAATATATGTATTAATTCAATAAACATTTACCAATATCAGCTTTGGGTAGGCTCTCTTGAAGCCTCAGGCTATATAGGTAGATGATTGCAAACTGACTGTCCTCAAGGGGTTCCTCCCTCCTTCCTCTACCCTGATGCCCACCTCCAACCCACTGCAGTCTAGCTATGGAGAATTAGACTCTCAAAACAAGCAGGTAAAGTATAGAGATTATAGGATCCAGTACACCTGAGGAGTTTGAAACTTCGAGCAATTGTGGAGGATGAGTTTCCAGGTCCCCACTTTTACACACGTTTCCCCTCACAATCCAGCAAGACCTAAACACAGAATTTCCCTATAAAATTCTCCAGGGGTCCAGGTCATCCAGATCCCAGATGAACTCCTCCCACAGGTGGCTGAAGGTCCCCTCTTTTCTCTTCTTATGCAGCCATTCGGGCCAAAATCTCCAGTGAGAAGGTAGTTCCTGCTAGCACAGACCCTGCTGACACTCAAAAAATGATCCGGTATGAAATCAAACAGATAAAGGTACATGGGGAACAGGACAGGGCATCGAATTCCTTGGGCTGTTGGGAGGAGTGGGGTCTGTGTACTGGGAGGGGGGCTGGTAGGCAGGTAACCTAGTTCATTGATCCTGGGGTATTGACGCTGAAGTGGAAGTGGCTGACATTTGCGAGCAGGGCCCACAGGCCTTAGTGTCCATCCATGGGGCTATTAGAGGTATTCTCACCCAAATAAACTAAGGTTTAGATTTTTCTAAAGATAGAAATGACCCAGTTGGGCCATCTGTGTGTACCAAATCCTGAACTAGACTTTTGCTTAATTTCTTTTAGATTGAGAAATGAGTTTTTCCTGTTAAGATATAAAGTATACTCACTGACCCAACACTGCTTTTTTTTTTTTGTAATTGCCTTTCAGATGTTTAAAGGGTTTGAGAAACTCAAAGATGTTCAGTATATCTATACACCTTTTGATTCCTCCCTCTGTGGTGTGAAACTAGAAGCTAACAGTCAGAAGCAATATCTTTTGACTGGTAAGTTGAAGATCAACAAGCAACCCTAATAGTCTCCGTCCTAAGGAAAGCAGTGAAGAAGGAGCCAGGGCTGTCCTTGGGCAGCAAGCTGAGCTAGGTGGCATTTTCTTGGGCAGAAAACAGAGCTGTGTTCCTAAGAGCCAGCCTCTGAGTTGGGAGGAGCTGTGGTAACCTTCCTTTCAATGCTAGAGTCTTCATTACAGTGATCTTGGCCACTGCTTCACTACTTTAAGGACAGGCTGCACTTCCAGGCTCAGGCAGCTGGTCCCATTTTTAAACAGTTTTAATTGATGTAAGTTTGATATCTTGAACCAAAAATCCTCTCCACTGAAACTGCCCCTTGTGGGTTCAGTTCTGCCCTCTGCCCATGATGATCCTTCAGAGGCCCAAGGACCATAAACATAGGCACTCTAGCTCTAGGTCTGCTGCCCTTGGTTCCCAGACCCCTTCCTAGCCTGGCCACCTTATCAAATGGGATAGAGCCTGTCTCTCCCCTAGCACAGGCCCCTAAACTGGACACTGCACCACAGGTGATGTCTTGATTCACAGAGTAAATGAGGATTGTGCATGTTAACCTTGCCTCCAACACACATATTATAGTCACAGTGGCATTAACTTTAGATAGCTACATTGGGTCATGATATTGGCTCATAATGAGACTCTGCTAAATCACATCACAGGTCATCTACTGGGGGGTATAGTAAAGCACAGGCCCTAACAGGAGACTTCAGTCTAACAAGTCTAACAAGTCTCTATGAACTTGGGCCCAGGCAGGCCTCCATACTCCATTGATTGGGACAGGACAGTTAGGAAACCACACAAGATTATGACTACATAAGTGAATGAATGCAATACTAAATTATTTTGAAGTTCAGGGACAAGAGGTAAGTGTGTGATTGTAAACAATTAGGGAAGCTTCACTCTGTAAGTGGGACCTAAATTGCCCCTAAAGGAAGAAAAATATTTGGAAAGAAGGCAAGGAAAAAAAAAACAAAAACAAAAAAACCCACACAGCAGGTGGGGATAACAGAAGGAATTTCCACTATCTGTCCATCCATTCAGCAGTAACGACCACCTACTCACTGCCAGGCCTTGTGCAGGAGGGTGGAGACTCAGTGACAAGCCACAGTCCTCAAAAAGCTCACAGTCCAAGCTTGGCTCTTGAGAAATCATAGCTATTAGAAGTCACACTGGTAGGGGCTTGCCAGACCTAAGGATGTAGAATTGTGTTGATCTGGGAGCCTATGGTTGGGAGAGACAGAAGCAGGGCATGTCACTGAGCCCTTCATGTCCCAGGATTAGCAGACAAGGCTACCTCATTCCCTCTGTGTACCTAGCCCTCTGCCAGCACTGTGGTGCATAAGGGGAGGAGGAGATATGTTCTTTGCCCTCAAAAACATCAAGTCTAACTGAGGGTGGGGATAAATGAAAAAATACAAGTCTACTGAGCAGTCATCAGTGGTGCCCTGCTCTTTAGGAGAAGGCATAAGCTCTTTTGTCTAATGTTGAAAGCCCCTGTGACCAGAACACTGCTGACCTCACCAGCTTTATCTTCAGCCAAGTGTGGATAACAGCTCCCAACTCTTCATATCCCCCAAAGCTGAACTCAACTACTTGCAGTTGCAGAAGGTGTTCTGCTGGGCTGTGCCGCTCCACCCTCCACAGGGTAGTCCCTATGTCCAGAAGTCCTTTCCCTCATTTGTCTCACAGGGGAACTCCGATCCACCCTTTCAAAGACCAATACAAGCATCAGCTCCTCTGAGACACCTTCCTTGCCCCACACCCCTTCCACAGATGGAGATAATTGTGCCTTGTTCATTCTTATACTGCATCTTATACATAATCACACAACAGTATAATTTTTGCCTACTTACCTATCTGCCCTACTGGTTATTAAGCTCCTTGGGGAAGAGATTCTGTCATATTTATTTCTGGATTTCTGGGTACCAAGTCGTAGTAGTTGCTCAGTGAATAATTGAGTGACTAAGGTTCTAAGAGAGGTGTGGGCTAGGGGGTCAGAGACGGCTCTGAGGACACTGTGGTACTGAAAAGGGCCTTTGGAAGCTAGGAAAGACTTTGATAAGTAAAGAGGGGACACTTTCCTATGGGGAAGAGGAGAGACTCACCAAGATAGGTATCAACGGGGCAGGACACCAGGCTAGGTAGATACTGGAAGGGTTGGAAAAAGTAAGGGACCTATTATTTATGGAAACTTCTGTGGGCCCAAGCTGTGCTGGGAACTTTACAGACATTCTCTCATTTAATCCTGACAACAACTTACTACTTTCATACTTTGAGCTGAGAAGTTATGTGACTTTCTTAAGGTCACATGGCTGTAAATGAGAGAAAAGAAGGCAGTTGTGTCAACAGTCTGACTTTAAAGTCCATGTTTTTCTCTCTACACCACTAAAGGAAAAGACCTTCATCCCACAACTCTCTCATACAAAAATAATCTGTTGATATCTTTGATATAAAAATTATAAAGGTTTTTCTGGTTCTTTCACTGAGCCCTATGTCACCACTGCCACCAAGAAGCCATTGAAGAAATTGTAGTTCTGGTCTCTTTGCGGACCTGGGCTCCTGGAGCTCCGTGAGCAAATTCCTCATGCTAGGTTTTCCTCCATTACCCCTGAAGGTCAGGTCCTCAGTGATGGAAAAGTCTTCATCCATCTGTGCAACTACATCGAACCTTGGGAGAACCTGTCCTTTTTGCAGAGAGAAAGTCTGAATCACCACTACCATCTGAACTGTGGCTGCCAAGTAAGGGAATATCCATTTGCAAGGTCTTTTGGGGCTGAGGGAAGGGTCTTGAGACTTGCAGCCATATTCTTTCCTTTGTGCATGCATTTATTCACTTATTGTACTATATTTGAAATCTGCCATGGATCAGGCACTGTATTAAGTGGGGGATGGAAAAGCAACATGGCCCATAGTTCATGATCTCAAAGTACTTACATTTTTGGCTGGGAAGGTGGCTATCATATAAAGAATGAGATAACATAGCTACCGTTTAGAGAGAGTCTACTTTTTGCCAGGCCCTGTAATGATGTATTTCCTTAAACTATTTAATTTAGTCTTTATAACAAATTTATGAAGAGTTAAGATTTCCATTTTAAGGTGAAGAAATCAATGCTGTAAGAAGTGATCTGCTCAGGGTCAGTGATGGACCAATGACCTCAGGCCTGTCTGACTCCAGAGATATCATTTGAGAGGCAATACTGTATGTTAGGAGATGGGGAAAGGGAACTCAGAAGGAAGTTTAGGGACTAGGAAAGGCTTCAGGAGTCAGGGGCATTTGAGCTGGGTTGTAATGAAATGTAGGAGTCTGAAAGGCAATAATGGAAAAAGGACACCATACTCACGTTGATGTTGTGTGGCTATGACTCTAGATTACCACCTGCTATACAGTGCCCTGTACCATCTCAGCTCCCAACGAGTGCCTCTGGACAGACTGGCTGTTGGAACGGAAGCTCTATGGGTACCAGGCCCAGCATTATGTCTGCATGAAGCATGCTGATGGCACCTGCAGCTGGTACCAGGGCCGCCTGCCCCTCAGGAAGGAGTTTGTTGACATCATACAGCCCTAATAGGGGCCAGTGACCATCACACTCCTTCAAGCATCCTGAAGCCCAAGCCATTTCTCCTTCCCTGTGGAGCTCTGGCTATCACCATCCGCCTCATCACTGCCAGCCAATGGAAAGTACCGAGTGGATGGTCTGGCTAGTTTTAGGATAGGGATGGGGCATGTTACAGCTTGAATCCAAATGCCAGCCTGGCACCTGTCAAGGGCCACAGAAAATAACATCACTTTTCTAGCCAGCCTTCAGCCCATCTCCCCTGTGTCCCAAACCCTTTTAGGCTAGCTAGTAACAGAAATCTGTTACTGAAAGTTTTGATTTTGGCTTAGTTTGTTTTCGAAAGCCAGAACTGTTCCCTTCTCTCCCCAGGAGAAAGCCAGAACTATTCCCTTAACTGATCTGATAGGGGAGAAATGGTGATTATTATACATAGGAGATAATGTAGCACTGTGATGTACAATACCAGAAGGTGGGCTGACAGAATCAGACACAAGTTGATTTGGAGGAATGAAATGAACAACCCACTACGGCTGTATGTCCTTTACTCATGTCCCTATGCATCCTAATCCTTTCATATACTTTTTTCTGTTTGGGGAGACACTTGGGGGAATACAGTCACTCACTGTGAGACCTGCAATGGCTTAACCTCATTCTACATGCTATAATCTCCTCTATACCATTCCTAGCAGAGAATCTGGTCCAGTTAACATACCTCTTTGGACAAGAATAGACTTAGGTATTGTCTCTCCAGGTCAACTATCTTTAATGTCCTCAACTGATGTCCATAAAGCTTCTCCTCGATTTCTTTAAGAAAGTCCTTCTCTACTAGATTACTAAAGTCTTTATTCCTAATTCAGAATTTTTTTTTTAAGCCAAAAAAGCCTTTCTCTTGTAGAGATGAAATTCCCCTTTAGCTTTTGACACCTCAGAGAGATCTTAGGAGGTCCTTTCTCAAGGGTCAATTTCAGGACAGAGGACATGAGAGAAATAACACAAAGACACTTGGGGGAAAAAGAGGGTAGGTGGGGAACATATTTTGCAACTGTTACAACTGTTCTCACTGGTCAGCCCTGCTAGACTTTATGGCATGAAAAAAGCCAGCTTTGCCCCCTGTCTGCCCTAAAGTTCACTCCCCTCCACCACTGTGTATTAGTGGTAGAACTCTAAGCACAGCCCCTTAGGGTTCCTTAGATTCTGCAAGGCTTCCTGGCTTGCCCTGAAAGAGAAAGCTCTTATGTTCATCTCAAGGGTTTATGAAGGATGAGGGCTTAAAGTTCCAGAGCCTCTCCCTGGCAAAGATGAATAAGGTAGTTCTTTTCAAGGCTCAAGTTTACTATTAATCTTTTGTGTGTGGTTTGCTAATAAGCAGGGTCATGACCAATATGCCAAATGAAGGTTCTTGATTCACAGAAATGGTTCCAATGGAGATCCTTATTGGAGTAGGGATCTCTGTCCCACATTACAACACTGGAATGCTATGGCAGAAAGTCTCCATTGGTGGGTTAAGCAGGATCACCAATTGACCATGCAGGCCTGGGGCAGAGAATGTAGGGACAGACAGGAAGAAGAGAGTTGAGCTAGAGGTGGTCATAAAGAAAAAAACATTAGTTGTAGCCTCCTCACCACCAACCATGCCATCTCTCTGTTCCTTCGGACATCCTAGCATGGCCTCAGAGAAGGCATAGTGTTAACCCAGTCTTATCTCAATCTTGAGGAAGCCAGAGGAATGGAAGGGGCTGGTGAATAATTATAGGAACAACATCTTACATCTGAGTTGTGCTTCACACTTTTCCAGAAGGCTATCACCTAATCTCACTTACGTTTTATAAGTACCATATTAGATATCCTGGTCAGGAATAATTATGCCATTGAACTTTCCTATTGAGAAACTCACACACAAGGAATCTAACTAGTCCATTGATATGTGGCAGGGCCAGGGCTAGAACCCAAAACAGTAGGATCTTCTGATTGTTTATACACAGATTTATTAGTTTCTCAACTTGATAAAATGCCCATATTTCTACTCTTAACTATTTGGTCTCCAGACTTTGGAAACAAGGGGTTATCGACTAAAATTCAGCTGCTCTAGCCCCACAGTTCAATCCCAACAGAATGTCTGGGGTTGAAATGCTGAGGCCCTCTTTAGGGCCCCATAATCCCCATGTGGCTCAGAATGTAAGCAGCAGAGGAACTAAAGTCCCCACTCAATCACCTACCATCTCTTTATGGTTGGGGTAGTATGTCTGCTCAATGAGTGGGAACTTTTCTCCTCCCAATGTCTTGTAGATGGCCACCAGCTGGGCAAACTGCAAAAGAGAAGCAAATGATTCAGCTTATCTAGACACTGCTTTAGACAAACATCAATCTATCAAACAAATATTTACTGAGCATTTGCTCTGTTGGGGACTTTGAACAAAACACCGAGGATATAAAAGGTGTACAATTCTTGTTTTTAAAGAACATATGCACTGGGTGTGGTACATAAACAATGAATTTTGAAAACACTGAAAATAAAATAAAATTAAATTAAAAAAATAAATTTTTAATCATTATTTTTAAAATTTAATAAAATTAAATTAAAAAAATAAAGCAGCCAAAAAAAAATAAAAGAACTTATGCATTAGTTGGGGAAGGGAGGGAGAATGCACTAACATTCATTCAGTATCTATACAATTTTACAGTATTTCATTCATTTCCCATATCAAATTGATGAACTAGGTATTTTATCATCTTTATTTTACATATGAGGCTCAGAGATGGTAGAATAGTTGCCTGAAGTCACAGAACTACAAAGAGGTGAAGCTCGGATTGAAATTTAGATCTCTAACTTTAAATGCATGCATCTCTAGAGATGACAATTGATAAAGCTAGGTAGGTAACATGGGGACAAGTCTTGAAAGTTCCAAGTCTAAGAAAGGAATGGTAGCTGTTTTCTGCAGACAGTATGGAGTCATAAGAACTGGAGCAGGGGTCATGAATAAAGCTATTCTTTAGGAAGATATTGATGCTCATGGTATGCAGGATAGACAGACCTAGACTCTCTAGGACTTACTACTCATCTAAGAACAGAATTCTGGATCCTTTACCTAGGAGAATCCAGAACAACTCTACGAAGAGGTGAGATACACATACTTACAGTCTGAGGGCTGAAAAGCCTCAGGCAAACATCTAGCACCCCCTGGAGTTCCCTGCCCCCACATTTTATAAGTGAAGAAACTGAAGCCCAGAGAGATCACTTGCCCAACGTCACATAATAGTTGAAGTGGGATCATAGCCAGGCCCCTTTATTTCCAAACTATAACTCCTCCTGCTGCCTTTCAGACTCTGCAGAGACCATGATCTTCCTGTAGGAAACACATAGGACTTTTCTGCTCAATCCATTCAAACACACACCCACCCACACACCTCCAGTGCACTGGCAGCAGGGGTAATCCAGCATCTTCCCTGTAGTGCTACTTGGGTTAGTTTACACTTGAAACCACTGATATCTGGAACTGCTAGAAGGAAAAGTTGCCAGATCAAACTTGCCTTCTATTTATCAGAAAAAGGAAAGTTAGAACATTTTTCAAAACCCTAGGTCCTATTCTCAATAAGGGATGTTGGTACAAGAGCCAGTGGGGACAGGGGAGTGTGGGGGGAGGAGTAGAAACTTAGAACTGGGTTGTTAGAAAACTGGGTTAGAGTCTTCGGGTTCTTGTTCTGCCTTGAACTCGCTAGGTGTCCTTGAGCAAATGATTTCTCCTCTCCAGGCCTCATTTTCTTCATATATAAAATGAAAGGAGTGAATTTGATCAGTTCTTCAAAATTTTTACCATAAAGGAAGATCATTTTATTATATTTCCTCCCAAACTTCATTATCAAACTGCAGTTTAAGTGATCATATATTGTGATTCTTTTGTTGTCAGGGGCAGAATTTCATTATTTTTGAAATGCTGGAAAATGTTGGAATTTCTGAGTCACTCCCATCTGTGACATGGCTGGTGACTATAGATCTTGAGAGCCTCCTCTAAAACTGAAAAGTACGATTCAGGGACTCTTGAACCCTGAAGATTTTATTATTGAGAGACTTTAGAGAGTCTCTAGACCAGACAACTCATTTTACATATGAGGATACAGAGGCTAGAGAAGCAAAGGAAAGCATAGGTTACCAGATCATGCCTGGAATTGGGACTGCACTAGGACAGCAACCAGGTAGGTCACTTCCTGCCCCATTGCATGTTTCACTGTACCTTGCTGTCCTTGCCATTTTTTAGTTTTTCAGCTTGCTTTGACTGTCAAGACAAACCCCTCAGACCTTTCTTGCCTTCTCTGATTCTCTCCATCACCCCATCTGACCTTTAAGTCCTGCCTGCCCACCTTGGCCAGCTTGGATTCCTGTTCTGCCTCTGGATACCTGCCTGAGCTCCCAAGCCTCTCCAGCATCACCAGCAAGCTGATGCCAGCTCTGCCTAACAACCTCTGTCCTGCTGCAACCCACGCCCTGGCATGGCACCAAGGCATGTGAGGCCTTATCTTTCCAGCATGTGGGAGAGTTACACAGACACCACAGCGATGCCAGGAAGGCCCTCGGCAAAATCCCAGAGTCCTGGGACAGCAAGACTAAAATGGCAGCCAGTTCCCAGGCACTAGTTAGGTCCCTGGGAGCTCACCCTACCCTACTCCACTTTATCTCCAGCAGTCCCTGTCTGCTCAAGGTACTGGGCTTGGCTTCTAACCCCTGCCTCCTTGGAAACTTAGATTAAGTCACAAGCACACAGTTACCAATTAAACAAATGTAATATCTGATAAGGGTTATTTCCTCTATGCATAGACAAAAGAATGGATTTAGGAGCTGGGGGTGGTGTTGGCAATGAATAGGAAGATAATGTTCATTATCACCACTTCTTCATTGAATCAGGAAAGACTTCTTGGAAGAAATGAGATTTCAGAATCAGTCTTGAGTTTAATATGTTATCCGTGGCCCTCCTGGAAATAAATGCTTTAATTCAACTCCTGTGCCTCAGATGGAGTGATAGGATTTTTAGATAAATTTGCAGCAATATGGGATGGTGGCAGTCTTACTTTCTCTGGAATGCTACCTTCATTGATAGGGCCACTTCTGCTTCCAAAATCCCAGGGCACAGACTGCCCTGACCAATATATAATAGCAGATGTGCTCAGAGACACAAGGTAGAACCTTAACCACCCAACTGAGGGCTTTCCTCACACCAAGAACAGTCACAATAAAGAGAATATGAACAAAATTCATCATCTCAGGGGAACCCTCCCTTCATGGTCACCAAATTTGTTCACTTCCATTAACAAGTAGAGAACAACATATAAAATGCCATTAGTGTGGTAGCTGCTTAATGAAAATGAAGGGAGAGCTTGGTGTCTGGCCAGGAAGCCTTGCTGTTCTCATGTGATGCCAAAGGCAATGTGCTGGGATTGTGAATGGGTGAGAATGTGAACCCTCACCAGATCCCAGATGCCAGGAGGGGCGAAGCCCTAGGCATAGGCTCTCTGATCCTCCCACCCTGGCTTCTGGCATAGTTTTGGAACATAAAGGAGGGGACTATTTTCTTTAAGAGATCCTAAATACTAGGGGACTATAACAACCAGGCTGGCAAACTGGTGACAGGTACTACTATTATCCATCCCTAGTTGACAGACAAAGAAACAAGGCACAGAAAAGTTTACTTAGAAGAAATAAACTAGCAATAGCAGAATCATCCTGTGTGACTATGAGATAGACAAATTCTAGCAGGTATTGAAAGGGCGGGGAAGGAAAGGGAAGAAAAGGGCTAGGGCTTATGTGCAGTAGGGAAAGTTGTGTAACTAGGGGGAAAAGGGAAGTCCCTAGAAAAGAAACTCAGTGAAGGCCTCAAATAATGCCTTCACATTTAAATCATACAACTCTTTTAGCTTGTTTCTGCAAAACTCTAGGATTCTTACGTGCCTCAGGCCCGAGGTATCTGCATGAGTGGTGATCAGGAACCCAACTCTCCCTCCTCAACCACAGCAGCTCTCCCTGACTCCTCATTCATTGGTCTTTCTCGTACACTCTCAGATCTCCCTGGTTTCCAGGGGAACGGGAAAACTGAGTTCAGGTGTGAGGAAGAGACCAACAGCAAAGGTGATGGGTCCATCTGGTTAAAAAGCATCCCCTCCAACTCCCTGGGTGGTGTAGAGGCTTGGGTTTGAGAACTTCACAGTGGCCCTTGGCAAGCCACTGTGATAGCTGAAGTGATTTTTGAAAAACAAGAGGAAGAGGATGTGATTGGGAGCAGGTATTTCCTTCTAAGAGGGCAGCCTGGAGAGCTGTTATAGGAGCTGGGTCCCCACTGGCCTCAGGCCTTTCCAATAGACCACTGAGAGGCAAGAATCAGGTATTTTTATTCTTACATCTATGGCTTGAGGGCAGAGCTTGCAGATCTATAAGGACTTCTTTAGAGAATCTTTGTGTGACTTTGTTGTGAGGCCAAAGGTCCACTCTACATCAAAGGCAGCCCAGCCCTTGAAGATAATGTTTTATTGTGAGAGCCCACCCTACCCCATGTCTGAAGCTCCTCTCACATCCTCTCAGTTGTGCCTAGTGCAACTTGATTACCAGTGGTCCCTCCTGTGGGACTGAGAGATACAGGACCTGGATCCCACCCTTTTACCTGGGGGGAAGGGGGCCTCACTCACCACCCATGGCTTGTCACAGAAGTTGTAAATGGATTCCAGTGAGTTGATGCTAGGGAGGCCTGCGTACTGCATGCCAATGACAAGGTGGCGGAAGTCCTCATTCTCTGCCATGCCGAATGCATGCTGCCGGATAAGCACAAAGTCTGGCCGGAAAGACCTGGTAAAAATGTAGAGGCAAATTTCCCATAAACCAGCCCCTCAGGTCATATATCATCTTGTCTCCTATTTCCAAAGCCCTAGACAGAGAAGGGATATTAAGGGTCACCTGATATAAGCCCCTCATTTTAATATTCTATGGAATAGGAAGTGAGGTATTATGGCACCTCTTAAAGGAGAATTAATGAAATGTCTGAAGTTCCCTTATTCCTCTGGATTGAGCATTGTCTTTTTCTAAGGTACAAATTCCCTCAGGAGGGGAGAAAGAAACACTTTCATACCCTTAAACTTAAATGAACAAGAATTTACCTGGTCCCTATGGGACAATAAAGGAGAAGCTCCTTGTGGCTTCAGAGTTTATACTCCAAGAGTGCCCCAGTAGACTTTGAAGACATATTTGCCTGACTTCACCACCCTGCCACAGAGATCCCTGAACTCAGTGTCCTATTCTGACTCCTTATAGCTGCTCCTTAAAATAGGCAATGCCTTCTTCAGGCCCCCAGAAGAGCAAGGGTCCTGGCTGGCTGAGAACACATGCCAAACTTCCCAATGTTATTCTTCCAAAGTGTACACTAGGGAGGGGTGCAAATATTTTTTGAAGAACTGAGGTTGAGCAATGGCTACAGGAAGCACTGGGAGTACAGAATGTTCCCATGCATGGGAAGGCTCCCTGTGTTTCCCCTCTAGCCAGCAAAGCTCCTCAGCTGCTCTATCTTCATGCCTTAACTCCAAGGGAACCCCACCTTCCTAAAGAGTCAGTTCTGTAGCAGCATTCTCCCTCAAGGCTCTGGAGCTTGCCAGTTTCACACCATATGCAATGACCCATCTGGTTCTCTGCCCAGGCATACATTCAACCCCCATCTACAGCTCCAGTACCACCGGGGCTCAGAGATCAGCCTTTTGAAGTGGGGGTGGAAGAAGCCCTTCTCAGTAACTCAAGGAATGTAGCATCAAGTCAGTATGGCATGTGCTGGAGCTGCTCTGATCTCCCTGTGCCCCAGTTCTGGGAAACTGACTCCAGCTGTATTCTTGAGATAAAACCTTAAATGCCAGTTATAGGAACTGAACCCTAGATTTCCTACACTGGCCAGCTCTTAAGTTCCTACACGCATACCTGGAAGGACCTGCCTTAGTTTTGCCAGATCCCTCCTGGCACCCTGCGATGGACCTTTCTGTCACCACATCCTTGTGTGCATGCATCCCTATGACTCACTCTACCTGCAGTTGGAGGGGCCCATTATTCTCTCCTGAGCTCGCTCCCCACTGGACGGGTTTCTGGTTTTCTGTCCTCCTCATCTCTAGAATGAATGAGTTTACGTTTCCTATTGTTAGGTTCCAGACACCTGAGCTTTGCCTTTCTTGTCACTGAGCCAGTTCTTACTGGATGTCGGAGACCTCAGTGTCAGGATGCTATAGGCTGACATAGGGAAGAGGATGAAGTAAAGATTCTTCCTGGCACAAGATTCTGTATCTGAATACCTGACACCATGCTGAGCCCGTGGGAAAATTGACACTGTGGAAGCCATTTTCCCTCATCTGGAATTCTTGTTACCTCCCTCACAGAACTGTTTTATTAAATTTGGCCACATCTGTAAGTTACCCAGCATACCACCTGGCATGTATGTGCCCTGTAACTGCAAATTTTCTTCTATCTTATGTCCCTTCCAACCTAGACTTTCCCATCAGACTTATGAATTCCCAGGACTGAGGAACATAGAAGAGTACAGGGTTGGGAGTGAAGAGAATTCACATAGAAACACAAGGCTCTGTGACCAACTCACTGAGTGAATCTAAGCAAATGAATGTAAAGTAGGAGGTTGAACTAGATCAGAGGTTTTCAAACTTTCTTTTTAAGCAACAGAATCCTCTTTTCCTGGGAAAATATACACAGAGATAAAAGCACAAAAATAACACTGGTGGAAGTGGGGCTGGAATCCTAGAACCCCTCTGATAGGAATCCAGTTACCTCTAAATGAGTCCTGAGTCCTTTGTCTACCATTGGACTAAGAGATCCCTGAGAGCAGGAGCTGGTTTTCTCTGCCTTCCTCTACCACTGCTACATAGCATACATCATTAATCTCTATACTATATACATGGCATTGCCATCCCCTCTAACACTTGACTTTGAAACCACCTATGCAAACCAGACAATAACTCTGAAGACAGTGACAGTGACCCTGAGGATAGAAAGGACCTTACCGGACAACTTTTGTGCCATTCCGGAGGACCTGCATATCCACAGCATAGGTCCCATCTGCATGGGCCACCAGGTTAAGCTCTGAAAATTCAGCCTGGAAAATAATAGTAGGGGATTAAGAGGGTAGAGTTCATGTTATGTGTTTTTACTACAATTGTTAAAAAAAAAATTAAAAATAAATAAAAATAACTTTAGAGAAATACGCCCATAGTCCTGGCTTTGCCAATTCTCCACAGAACAGTAGCAGCCCTCCCACCATTCATTTATTCAGTTTCCCAAAGCATTTTCACAATCTGATTTCATCTCACTTTCATAGCAACTCTGTGAGGCAGGAAGGACAGAGATAATTCTCCCCATTTACAAAAGAAGCAGTTAAGTGACTTTCTGGACAAAAAAAATTTATTTTTGGCAGAGACAGGAGCAAAGCTCAAGTCTTCTGACAACTCTGTGCTCCCTTTCTATAGAGTGGGAATGCAAACTGGGGGATGCAAACTAGAGCAACATGCCCTCTGTCAGTTTCAACATAAAAACACTAGATTTTAGTTTAGGCGACTGGGTGTTACTTCTGCTCTGCCTCCAGTTAGCTCCATGGACTTCAGGCAAATCACTTGTCCTCCTGGGGTTGGGGTGGGGGGTGTGGGGACAGTTTCTTTTATCTAAAATAGGAATAATAATAATTTTTAATCAACCTTGACTATCCAACAAGTTGTTCTAAGAACTGAATACAATAATGGGTAGGAAAGTACTCTGTAAGTCACAGCACACTCTGTAAAGAATGATGAGTAACTTCTATAATTACATAGAAAGCATATGCATTGTTTAAACTGGACATCCCCCTCTCCACCCAAATGGACTTAATCTCTATCATGAAGCAAAGGGTAGAGGAAGATTTTAAAAAAGGGAAGGGGGGCTTTCAGGACTTCATTACATTAAAAATAGGGGCGTGTGTATGTGTGTTTTAATTCTCTCTGAAGTGTAGCTTCACGCCCAAAGTAGGCAGCATGGGAGGCTGCACAGCTGAAGGGCAGACATGTGCCAACCCAGAAATATCATGCCATCAACAATATGGAGATGTGGCCAGTGTCCCGGGAAGACATTCCCCTGTGGTTTTCCTCAGCCTGGGAACACACTACCAGAGAACCCTAAGAACCACATTATTCACTACTTTATAGACACCAGCACCATGAAAAGAAGTCAGGGAAGTTGAAAGGCAGCCTTCATGGTCATATCTCAAAAAGAGAAAAGCCCCAGGGAACAGGTGGGGAGAGGGGAGAGAGGGCCTGGAATCCACTGACAAACACTGTACTCCACTCTGAAGATTAGATGATTCACTTTGGGATGTCAAGAGAGAATAATGATGACGCAGATGTAACTCTGGGCTTCAGGGTAATTACCTGTTCCACTTTGATGTCATAATCTCCAAGGACTTTTTTACCCCGGAAGCACTTGGCCCTGGAAAACGAAAACAAAAACAAAAACAAAACAGAAACCAAACCAAAACAAAACAAAAATCACACAAATTAGTATTGTAGATGTGTCTGAGATCAGAAATTTACTATCATAAAGAAGAGGACTACAGCAGACAGAACCCCAGAATGAGAGTCAAGAGACCTGGGATAGGACTGGACTCTAACTCAACTAATAGATTATTGTGAGAGAGCCTCAAGCAAACCACGGTCTCTCCTTTACTCAGTTTACCCATCCATAAAATAATCCAATGCACTTTTTCACTCCCAAGTTTTGGGATTTTATAATATCCTCCTTTGTCATTGGGCTACAAAAGAAGTCTAGAAGTAGGAATTTTCCCAATATGATTCCTGGTAAAGACCAAGTACACATCTTTATACTTTCCTTATCTTCCCCATCACTCTGATTTTCTAGGTGGGTTCCACCCTTGGAATTTTAGTTTTTAAAGAAACTGTTATCATTTTACCTCTTCATATCTATACCTCCAAAAAGTATTTGAGGCAATTAATAGTTTAAAAGGCAGATATAACCAACAAAGTAAGGATTGAAGGACAGTGAATGACAGAGCATTAATTATACCAGAAAAGAAATTTTAAAAGGTAGGAGGCTGAGGAAAGCTACTATAATTGAACACAAAACCTATTCTGTATTTCTGAATTTCAGTCAAGAAAACTAGTCAGGCCAAGTTATATAGTACTTATTATCTTCCTATCTTCTCATGGATCTAAAGAAGCCTCACAAGGCGTCAGGGACTTCAGAGTCCCTTGTAAGTGGACTGTGCTTATATTTATATTGATATTCGTTCCTACTTTCCCTTAATCTCCCCCTCCCCACCCTACCCCCAAAGATTTTCTTACCTATCCACTTAGGCTAGTTCTCCATGTGAATAAAGGGCCTTTCTATGCTATACCTGTTAGCGAGGTTGTTCTTTCCCAGAGCTTGAAATTTCAAATTAGTATGCTACACTGGAGGTTTCCAAAAGACCCTCTCAAAATAAAGGGATAAACTAACATTTATTGGGCATAATGTTCTAGGAATTGTGTGCAAGTTGCTTTCAAGAACATCTCATTTAATCCTAATAACAATTTATGATATAGGGAGAAAGGTCTTCATTTTTGAGATGATGAGACTCGGAGGAGAAAAATAGTGTATTCACAGTCACATGATAACTTAGTGACAGAAACAGTATTCACACCCAAGTTTGAATCCAGTGTTCCTGGGGCTGTACAGTCATCCCTCTCTGCTGATTCATACTCTCCATCTTCACTCTCACCATTACGAAAACTGTCTTGTCATGTGTGCTGCATTGCATGTTTTTCCCCCCATTTTCCTTCTTCCGCTCAAAAGGGACTTGATGTTGTGAGCACTAGTTCTACTACAAATACTTCCTATCCTGGTTCCTGTGAACTACCCAGGATGAGGCCAGGCTATTTCCTTTCCTCTCTGCTGGAACAGTCCGTTCTAGGAAGTTGTCATTTGTCCTATCCAAGTCCCTGGCCACCCTCAAATTGTTCCTCAGAGGCATTCAGCCATCCTGGAGCTGGATCACTGAAGCCTAGTCCCCAACCTTTGCCCCAATAACTCGCTAAGCTTCATCAGCTTGCTTCCAGAACTGTGTTCAACATTTATAGCTCAGCAAACCCCTCCACCTGTGCCATATCCCATCCCTTTGGCTACTGTTCTAACTTATTTATGGACTTAAATGATAATCTACACGTGCCACTATCACTGCTCTGCAGATCTTAAACTCTGAAGGCCTTTATCCAGGACAATAAAAAGGAGAAATGGAGTAAATGACCCTGGAGGTTCTTTTCTTGAACTGATGAGGTGTGTCTACCTTACTACCAGCAATGCTTTTCTGATGCCTCCTCCTATCTTCCTGTCAAAATAGCTTTTGTTCTATGAGGTCTCAGAGACATTAACAATAACCTCTCATTCTATATGATACCTTGCACTTTCAAAGCACATTCCTTGCCTTATTGAAGCAGCCAGGGCAGACAGCAATGTTCCTTTGACCGATGGGGGAATTGAAAGCCAGAGCAGGGAAATAATATGCCCAAGCCACAGAAAAGTTCTTAGGACTAAGTTTAGAACTGAGAGTTTACAACTAGATGCTTATGTGTTGCCAAGTATTTTAATTCACTCACTTATTTTGTGAATTTACAACACTGATATTAAAGTATATTTATAGATTCTGGCTGGATTTATCTGCCACTTCCTGCACCTGCCCATTGACCAAGTTGGCTAATGATACTGTTTGCATGCTTTCTCCCTGCCCCCACCTCTCCAATGATCTTAATGCCTTTTCCTTAAGGTAATTTGTCCTGTTGAAAATCTTAGTCTGTGTTTCCTGACTCCAGGTCACTGACCTCTGTTGGCTGAGCACAATCTTATGGAAAACGAACTAAAGATGGCAGGCAGATGGGGCACAGAGCCTTCTTCTGGAGAATGAGCACATTTTCCTAGCTCTAGCCCTTAGAAATTTAGGTTCCAGGTATTTTCATGAAAAATTGTGTGATTTATAAGCAAGTGACCGAAGTACCTCCTGATACTAAGAGAGCACTATTTGGAGGCAGCGTGTTAGAATCCAGGGGAGTTGTGAATCACAGGGCTCTGAAATCACAGTCTGGGTAGGAATCCTAGAGGTACCCTTCCCTGGCTCTGTGATCTTAGGCAAGTGGCTTAAATTTAAAAAAAAAAAAAAAAAAAAAGTATGTCATATGGCGAAATCAATCAATCTACCTTCAAAAGTACACAAAAGAACAAGATAAAAAATAAGTTTCTCTTTTCCCATTTCTTTTTCATCACATATAATCCCCATTATCAGTTGCAAGCCTATCCTTCCAGTGTGGGGAAAATGTCTGCACACATATATGCTTCAAACATACATGTAGCATCATGCTGCATAAACTCTTCTTTTTGAACCTTGATTTTTATTGCACTCAAAAATACATCTTAGTGATATGCTTTCAGCATATACTGATGGACTTCTTTCTTTTTAATAGTTGCATGAAATTCCATTTGAAAGACATACAGTAATTTCATCATATATATTGGTAAGTACTTAGATTTCCAGTTTTTGGGTTGTTTTTACCATTATAAACAGTGCAATAATGGCTAACATTTAAGAACATATCCATAGGAGGGAATCCTGAGTGGTGCAGTCAATTAAGTATTTGATTCTTGGTTTCGGCTCAGGTCATGATCTTGGGGTCCTGAGATCGAGACCCACTGGGCTCCATGTTGAGTATGGAGTCTGCTTTCTCTCTCCCTCTGCCCCTTCCTCTCTTCTCTAAAACAAACAAATAAATCTGAAAAAAATATATATCTGGGGTGCCTAGGTGGCTCAGTTGGTTAAACATCTGCCTTTGGGTTAGATAATGAGGTCCTGGGATGGAGCCCCATATTGGGCTCCCTGCTCAGCAGGGATCTTGCTTCTCCCTCCCCCTCTGCTGCTCCCCCTGCTTGTGCTCTCTATCTCTCTCAAATAAATAAATAAAATCTTTAAAAATAAATAAATATATGTATATATATCTCCATAGGAAAAAAAGAATACATCCATGGGATAAATAACTTACCTTTTCCAACTATACTGAGATACAATTGACAAAACTGTATATATTTAAAGTGTGCATCATGATGAATTAATATACCTATACTTTGTGAAATGGGATTACCACACTCAGGTTAATTAACACATCTATCAACTTGCATAGTTACATTTTATGTGTGTGTGGTGAGAACACAGAAGATCTATTTTCTTAGAAAATTTCAAGTATACAATATAGTATTATTAACTATAGTCACCATGTTGTATATTAGAAAGATAAAAAATTTATTGAAGAATTGCTGGTTCAAGGAACAGACACAGTTACAGTTTTTACTGATATTGCCACACTGCCCACCCCCCCCCCCCCCCAATAAGGAAAATACAGCACTCTTTCTCAGTGTTTGAAAGTTTGGGAAAGCGACTTCCTCTCCCTTAGTTCCCGTCTCCTTCGCCCCAATCCCCACAGTTTCTTGCATAAACTGGACACAGAGAAGGACTTTCTGACTGGCGGTCTTGTCAAATCAGCCCAAATTCACCTTCTTTGCCAATCCTAAACAGAACCCAAGATGTACATCCTTAAAGCACAGACTAAAAATATCTATGGTGCCTGTGTTGTCAATTTCCCCCTATTGTAACATTTTCTTAACAAGCCTAGCAGCTGAGGATCTATGTGAGTTTAATGGCTTACAGCTTCCTTGATGGGCCAGGCAATGAACCATCTCACCTTATTGCTAAAATGAGTAGAGGCTTCTAGATTTAACTCTTCTTACTCAAGGCAACGAATATACTCAACAATTCCTATCCAACTAGGGCTTGTGAGGCTGAGGACCACGATTTCAGACACTTCTCTTCTAAGGCTCCCGTAAAACTTAGGCAAGCCCAACTTGAAATCTTCCTGTTTTATGCATGGGATAATGGAGAAAGGTCTAGAAATAGGAACCAGTGGAGTTGGGTTCAGGCATAGTTCTACCACTTTTCAACTGTGTGACTTTGGGCAAATAATCACCTCTCTCAGCCTTAGTTTTCTCTGTATAAAATAAGGTTAATAATAATTGTAATACTAATAGCAAGCATGCACTATGCACTGGCCACTATTCTAAGTATTTTATGTATTTTACCTCATTTATTAATACCTTACTCACAGGTTGTTGCAAATACTTAATAAAGCCAGATGAAAATAACTGACATGAAAGTGTTCTGGAAACTCTGAGATGCTATGCAAATATGAAGTACTATTAGGAAAATGCAACAAACATTTATGTACCAGGTATTATTACTGTTTTATTATTACCACAGCCAACATAGCCTCTTCCTCTTCTGAACTTTCATTCCATTTATTGTCCACTCATGATATTGTCCACTCATGATGCTCATAGCATCATCATATGATACCAACTTTCAAACTCAGTTGTCCCATAATCTGGGACACCCCTCT